ATGCTCAATTTTTCAGGCATGTCTCTTCTTGCTTCCATGGTAAATTTACGTATGGTCACTTGAATTGTCAAAGTTTGCGACCATCTAGATATAATCATAAGGTTAATGAGTTGAAATGTCTGCTTGTTGGTAGTGATATTGATGTTTTTGCAGTGACTGAGTCTTGGCTTAACCCTGCAGTTTCTTCGAGGTCGTTGATGGTTCCGGGGTACAAGGTTCTGCGTAATGACACTGTTGGCCGCGTTGGTGGAGGTGTAATGCTATATGTACGTGATAATTTGTCATATAAGGTGGTGTACCGATCGGAGAATTATGGTGTGTGTGAATCTTTGTCTGCTGAGCTTTTTCTGAGCGGCACTACAGTGCTCTTTACTGTCGTCTACTTACCTCGTGGGGATGTAGACACATTTAGTCTTATCCATGAGGGTATTTTTGATTCATATGCTAACATTGTTGTCTGCGGCGATTTTAACTATAATTTGTTTAAACCGTTGAATTCTTTATCAATGCGAAGACTGTGCAGATCTCTTGGGCTTTCTGTTGTTCACAATTCCAGTCCGACTCACCTTGATGTTGCTCGTAGTACTACCTCATTAATTGACTTTTGCCTGGTCTCTGATGCCTTGACTGTGAATTTTTCTTCGCAGGGGCAGTGCCCTGGTATTTCCCACCATGCATTAATTTTTGGAGGGGTTGAACTCCCAGTTCTTGCTGAAGAAAAGGTTATTGAGTTCCTGGATTTTCGTAGGACTGACTGGCGGGGTGTGGAAGATTATGTTTGCAATTTTGATTTTAGTCCTCTGTATCTTACAAGTGATGTGGACCAACAGTTGGCTTTGTTTGATTTGTTGTTTCAAAATTTGTTGTCTTTTGTACCTACTGCTACCAGCTGTTCTCGCCCAAAAAATGATGCTTGGTTGGGGTTGGATGTGGTAAAATCGCCCTGTTACGTTAGGGATCAGGCTTATCTGGAGTGGCGTAGGCGTCCTACGGTTCGCAACAGGCAGATATTTTGTATGTATAGAAACCGCTGTAAGGCTGTCATGCGTAATGAAAGAAGGAAATTTTATGAGGAAATGTTTGGTCGTATGAGTAGTGTGCAGATATGGAAGTCATTAAAGTCGTTTGGTTGTCTTGATGATGGTTGTGATGTCCCAATTATTGATGTCAATGCTGTTAATAATTACTTTTGTAGTGTTGGTAATTTAGATTCATCTCGTGATTTTGTTGTTAGTGAGGCCAATGATTTTGATTCTTTTAGATTTGACTGTGTGTACATGGATGATTTGTTTCGTAGGTGTTGATGGCATACCTATTAAGTTCTTCAAATGCGTATTCCCTTACATTTGTAGTCACTTTCTGCATTTTGTAAATTGTATTTTTATGACGTCAATCTTTCCACTTGCGTGGAAGGTTGCTCGTGTGGTGCCTGTGCCGAAGAAGAGGAGTTCTTATCATCAGACGAATCTTCGACCAATAAGCATTCTGCCGGCTATGTCGAAATTGGTTGAACATGTTATTAAGGATGCGATTGTTGATTTTCTGGATGACCATAAGTATTTGAGTAGTTCCCAGTTTGGGTTTCGGCGTGGTTCTAGCACCACGGTTCATCTTTTAGCCCTCACTGATGTCACTCGTGATGTGTTCAATAGTTCTGATGTTGGTTTGCTTGTTGGCCTTGATTTGTCTAAGGCCTTTGATTCTGTGGATCATACGCTTCTGCTCTGTAAGCTGAGAGACAAGTTTTGTTTCTCTCCTTCTTCGTGTAGATTGATATCGTCGTATTTGAGTGGAAGATCTCAGTTTGTTGTGCACAGGGGTGTTCAGTCTGATGTTTGTGCTGTGCGGTGTGGTGTCCCACAAGGATCTGTGCTTGGCCCTCTGCTTTTTATTATGTTCATTAATGACATTGTGGGGTCTGTGTCTAATTCCAGTTGTGAAGTTTTCATATATGCGGATGACATTCATGTCTTCTTTAAAAGTGCAGATCTCTTTGAGTTGGAAAATGTGGCAAACGCTACTTTGAGATTGCTTTCTATGTGGATCTCCTCGAATGGTTTGTCTGTAAATTGGAATAAAACAGAAGCTGTTCTGTTTAATAGTCCTCGTTATGTTCCTACGCCGTGCATCTGTGTTGGCTCCTTTGTGGTTAATGTTGTGGACGAGATGAGATGTTTAGGTGTAGTCATTGACACCAAGCTTAATTTTTCAACGTATGTTGATTCGTTGCTGTCTCGTGTGCGTTTTCAGATGCGGAGGCTATATAGTCTTCAAGCTCATTTGCCTCTTAGTGTTAGGATGATGGCTGCCAGATCTTTATTAATGTCTCATGTCAACTATTGTTTGGAAGTCATCTCTGGGGCGAATGCTTCCCTAATTCTGCGCGTACGCAAACTTGTTAACTCTATTGTTAGATATGTATTTGGGTTGCGCCGTAGTGATCGTGTAACACAGTATGTTATTAAGTTTCTTGGACTGTCATTTGACAGATATGTTGAATATCGCCTTCTTTTGTGTCATTACAGAATTATGAGGAATGTTAATTCTCCTTTGTATAATAAGTTTGTGTTTTGTAGATCATCTCGAAATCCGCAATTGCTGTTTCCAAGATTTTCGTCTGTAGTTGGTGAGAAGGCGTTTGTTGTGAGAGTTGCGAGATTGTGGAATCAGCTCCCTCTGGCCCTGCGTAATTTTACCTGTTCTTTTGATATGTACAAGAAGAGGTGTTTTGAATATTTGTCTGTTCATTGAGTTTCTGGTTGCGGGTTATATTTTGTTATTTCTTTTTAGTTATTGGCTGGGGGGCCATTTTTATGGTTGTTTATTTTCCATGTAGTACATAATTTTATTGATTTTTTCTTTTTTGAGGTTTTTTTTTTTGCTATACTTGTAGTAGCTACATTCGCTCGGTTGAAACGAGTGATGATTAGCGCTTAAGTGTATTGATGCCTCTTGCCTTTTTCCTCTCTACCTTGCTAAACTGTTGTTCAGCTTGGTAAAGGAGTTTTGTCTGAGGGTCTAATTGCTACTAAATTTAAATTATTATTATTATTTTTTGTATATATTTTACTATTCGTTGATAATTTTTGTTATTTAGTTTTTTTAGGATTAATTTGGTTATAGACTGTTTTTATACTGTTGTATGTTAATATAAGATTTTGGCCATGTTGGCTTATTTATATTGAATTGTATGAAATAAATGAAATGAAATCATCAAAATACCGAATATGGGGGGTACCGTTATATGGGGGCTACATGAAGACGTGGACATGCACAGACAATTTTCTGGTATGGGCTGAAGTATCCATTACGAACTTCACATGCGAAATGTGAAACAATCCCGGTAAATAATGTCGCTAAAATCATCAAAATACCGAATATCGGGGGGTACCGTTATATAGGGGCTATATGAAGACGTGGACCTACATGGCTCATTTTTTGACTTAGTATGTAGTATCCATTACGAACTTCAAATACCAAATTTAAAACGATTCCGGTAAACAATGTCTCTAAAATCATCAAAATACCGAATATCGGGGGGTACCGTTTTATAGGGGCTATATGAAGACGTGGACCTACATGGCTCATTTTCTGTTTTATGCTGCAGTATCTATTACGAACTTCAAATAACAAACTTGGAACGATTCCGCTAAATAATGTCGCTAAAATCATCAAAATACCGAATATCGGGGGTACCGTTATATGGGGGCTATATGAAGAAGTGGACCTACATGGCTCATTTTTTGACTTAGTATGTAGTATCCATTACGAACTTCAAATACCAAATTTGAAACGATTCCGCTAAACAATGTCGCTAAAATCATCAAAATGCCGAATATCGGGGGGTACCGTTATATAGGGGCTATATGAAGACGTGGACCTACATGGCTCATTTTTTGACTTAGTATGTAGTATCCATTACGAACTTCAAATACCAAATTTAAAACGATTCCGGTAAACAATGTCGCTAAAATCATCAAAATACCGAATATCGGGGGGTACCGTTATATGGGGGCTACACGAAGACGTGGACCTACATGGCTCATTTTTTGACTTAGTATGTAGTATCCATTACGAACTTCAAATACCAAATTTGAAACGATTCCGGTAAACAATGTCGCTAAAATTATCAAAATACGGAATAACGGGAGGTACCGTTATATGTGGGCTATATGATAACTTGGACCTACATGGCCCATTTACGAACTTAACCTGCCTACTGGCAAAATATACATGTGTGCAAAATTTTAGCCTTCTATCTCAATTTGTTCGAAAGATAGCGTGATTACAACAGACAGACAGACGGACAGGCAGACAGACAGACACACAGTCAGACATGGCTAAATCGTCTTAGAATTTTACGCTGATCAAGAATATATATATACTTTGTTGGGTCTGACATGAGTATTTCGAGGACTTACAAACGGAATGACAAAATTAATATACCCTCCATAGTATGGTGGAGGGTATAAAAATGTACAAACTAATTATAAGTTAAAATTATTCCTTTTTATTCATTTATTTGACCATCATACGATGTAACAAAGTGCAAAAAACAATACTAAGAATAACAAATCTCAATCTACCAGTCATCATTTCGCACAGCAAACGTTTCCCCGTGATTTGTTCGCAAGCGATACAGCTCGGCAACTCACAGCCGAAGTACATTAAGCCAATCGTATTGTTTGTGTACTTCTGGCATTGAAATTTATTTATTTTTGAAGTTGTGTCTTCGTGAGAGGGGTACGTTAATTGTTTCGTTTGTTTTCGTTCGCTGGTTTAAAATGTTTAAATTGTGTGGTGAGTACGCCGAATAAATAATTGTAACCATGCTGTTTGGCCTTAGTTGATAGTGAAACATGCTTTAACTTTTAATTAAAAATACAACACTCAGCAACACCTCGTTCAGTTATTGTAGAACCTTTTCTAAAATTTAACATACATTATTTAATGTGTTATCTATACTAGCTAATTATAAAAATATAATTTTAATTTTACAGAAAGGACATGTGGCAAATCCACGAGCACCTTGCGTTGTTACCACGATAGATCCCGACTACACAAAAAACTCGGCTTTGCAGAGAAAAACACAAAAATTTCGAATGAAAACGTAAGATATTGTACGAAATAAACCCAACACCTATTAAAAAGTTGCTCTGTTCCAGAACCTTAGTGTTCTATTTTTTGCTTATAAATTTGAAAAGTTTTACAGGGTCTATTGTTCGGCACATCTTATCTTGTACGTTTTTTTTAAATTATTAAAAAAATTAAAAAAAAAAAAAATAATTTAATATTCGAGGCTCCGGTAAACTTAAAAATGATAAAAATCTAAAGAGAAGAGTCGTATATGGGCTGATAAATAAAATAATTCTCTTTACGGCTTAAATATATTAATTTCATTCTAGAGATATTTTAAGATTGCGGGAAATAACGCGAAAAAAATTCGTTATATACGCTACACAACAAAAATATTTGGAAAAGCAAAGAGAAGAAGCTTTTCAAGACGAAGCTTATCAACGTATAACGGAGTTCCAAGAGGTATAATGTATATAAAACATCAGAGCCATTTTCAATAATGACGTAAATCAGTTTGCTCTTAATGCTCTTTGCAAGATAGAATCGAGTGCTTTTGCTGGGATGCAACAAATGCAAAAACAACTGCAAGATTTACAAAGGATGAATATAAACGAGGAACTTAGAAATATAGTAGCAGATCATCAGCGAATTCTCATGGAAGTGCAAGAGGTGTACGCCAGGTTTCTTTTCCTTTTGAAAGTTATTGTAAGTCAACGCATCCAATTCTAGGAGATTTAATGTTTTACAGTTCTTTCTTGCAGAGTTATTTTGACGAAATAATATCACCCGAAGACATAGAGAACGGCCAGGAGAAAAGAAAACTTACGCTTCCAAAAAATGTTGTAGAATTGGAAATTAATGAAAAACATCCAGTTGGCCAACGCGAAGTCTCTGACATTATAGCTTACATGGACAATGTCATAAGACCATATTTAGCCAAAAGAAGCCATCTTAATTCTGATATATGGATCAAGGTGATATATATGCTTGCTTAAATGTTATCCATTAATTGTTTTTATTTTGTTACAGGGGTACGAACGTACAAGGCATAAGATTTTCAATTTTAACCGAAGATTTGCACAGGTGGCTTTGCTGAATCATTTGGTGTTTGTGATTCATGACAAATCGGTAATAAGTTTATTTCGTTGTTTCAAAAGAGTCATGCTATGAAAAGGTTCTGATTAGGGGAATATTTTTAAAATTTTGTTGCTCTAATAAATCGATCTATTTTTTATGAGAACAACAATAATGACACTACGCCTGACAATTTTGAATCAACGAAAAAAACTTTTTGGCAATAATAAATTTGTTTAGGAAAAGGTATACACTCGGAGAGTGGTCCGACCTATTTTGTTAGCAGGCACTGGATTTCTTAAGACACGTATTGATTCTTTAAAGCAGCATTCTTTCATCATTTTCAACGAGTTTGAAAAACTTCAGAAAAAAGAGTAATTTTTTATTTAAATGAATTCTACACGTCAATGAATGCTAACTACATATGTATTATTTCAGTAAACTTCTTATGAAATTGAATGCAATCGTATCAGTTATACTTCACCGAATTGAGGACAAAATATCAAAATGCAATGATTTTCCAGGGGCTTTAATAACTGCCAAATCGAAAAATAGCCCCCCGGAGAAAAGTAAAAAATCATCGAGTGTAGTAGTCTCAACAACTGAACGAGATATTTATGCTTTGGAGAGAATTGAAAAAATGCATTGGTATCTGCAGGTAATTATGGCAATTTTACGTTTGTCGAGAAAACTATATTTTTCAATTGCAGAATCTTTTACATGATTTGGAAAAGTATTCCCCAGACAAATGCAGACAAATTGAAATTAATGTTCGAAAACGTTTGGAAATGCAGAAAGACTTCTCTCGACGAGCACTAATACAAAAAAATCGTCTTCACAATTGGATGGATCATTATAAAAAACATGATATTTTACGACAAAGTAAATAAATAATATTCTATGTATAATGAGATCCAACAAAATAACTATAGACTCAGGATCAGTATATCGAATTTGTTTATATTTTGTCCCATATTAGATTCATTGTAAAATGTATCAAATAAACCAAAATAACCTATTTGAAATGTTAAAAAGTTAATTTGAAAAATGTCTATTTATTAAATTATACTTCTTTTTTATGTTAAAATTATTAAAAACACGGCAAAAGGAGTGACCATAAGAAATATTATTTGAGACAGAATCTTGAAGAATTTGTGTTATTTGACTTAAGCTTGCAAAAAGGAAAAAATGACACCATATGAAGTAATTCGAGCTTTTTCTTATTGTATAATGACATAAGTGCCGAGCCACTGTATTTCACAAATTACAGAAGTAGTAATTTTGTAAACATAAACAACCCTTAACATTACGTTTAAATATAGTTGTTTATAATATTATGAATTATGTTTAATAAAATCGACTTTGTTATGATCATTAAAGCATATACTGACTTATTTTAAAGTAGTCGTGTACATGAGTATCCACTGATGTCGCTTCCCAAAAAATAGATCATTTAAGAGAAAATACGATTTTTTTATATTTAACGATTCCTTTAAATTGAAATATTCATTAAAACGAGTACTGAGTACTTGTTTACTTAACAAGTAAAAAAACATTAAGTTCGGCCGGGCCAAACTTTTAATACCCTCCACCTTAGGGTAAAAGAAACATTAGAAGAAATGTGGCAAAAACCATTAAAATGCCGAATATCGGGAGGCCCCGTTATATGGGGGCTACACCAAAACGTGGACCTATAATTACAATGTTTCGCCACACAAACTAGGACCCATTAGGACCCACAAATACCAATTTTTAGACAAAGCAGTGAAAAAATGTTACAAAATACCGAATATCGGGATGTACCGTTATATGGGGGCTATATCAAATCATGGACCCATGCATGCAATGTTTCGCCACCGAAGCTGGAACCCATTATGACCAACAAATACCAATGTGGCAAAAAATATGGCACAAATCATCAAATTACCGATTATCGGTACCGTTATATGGGGGCTATACCAAAACGTGGACCTTTAATTACAATGTTTCGGTACACGAACTAGGACCCATTATGACCCACAAATACCAATTTTTAGACAAATCAGTGAAAAAATGTTTCAAAAACCATAAAAATACCGAATATCAGGAGGTACTGTTATATGGGGGCTATACCAAAACATGGACCCATACATGCAATGTTTCGCCACCGGAGCTGGAAACCATTATGACCCACAAATACCAATTTTTAGACAAATCCGTGAAAAAATGTGGTAAAAAAAACTAAAATACCGAATATCGTGAGGTACTGTTATATGGGGGCTATACCACAACGTGGACCTATACATGCAATGTTTTGCCACACGCTCAGGGACCCGTTATGACCTACAAATACAAATTTCCAGACAAATCCGTGAAAAAATGTGGCATAAATCATTAAAATACCGAATATCGGGAGGTACCGTTTTATGGGGACTATACCAGAACGTGGACCGATATATCTCATTTTCAATACCAACAATCCTAGACACAATGCAAATAGCTCTGCTAAATTTTGGCGCTCTACGTCAAATAATGTGGGCTGTATCGTGATTTCAACAGACAGACAGACAGACAGACGGACATCGTTAAATCGACTTAGAATTTTATGCTGATTATGAATATATATACTTTATGGGGTCTACGACGAATATTTAAGGATGTTACAAACGGAATGACAAAGTTAATATACCCTCCTTTCCAAGGTGGAGGGTATAAAAACTATAGAAATAACAACTCTTATATGATTTGAACAATGCCTTTCATCGACGTAGCTAGGGTGGGCTCCTTCCATAATAGTACATTTTTAGAAAATTTTCGGGAATTTTGCTTAAAATCTTACAACAAAAAAATTAACTTTTCAAGTTTTTTTATGAAATCTACTAAACAATTCTATTTTTAATGACTTCAACGGAGAGAAAATTTAATTTTCGTTTGAATTCTAGGATCATATTGTGTTTCTTGTATCTCCTCTTCTTGAAGTTCTCTCAATATTGGAGATTTGGTGGCCTCTATAGTATTTTGTTGCACCCATTGAATACACATTTCAAAAAGCTTCGAAACATCGCCATGCTTAATTCTCGGTTGTTCTTCAGAAGGAAAGTTGTCTCCACCATTAATATTAGTCTCAGCTTTTAACAAAACACAACATCGATGGGGACACCAAATTTTCACTCCGTCGCTGAGTAGACATCAACATCGCATCGCTCACTCTGTCATTCAATGATCTACCCTAATTTTAGTTTTTGTTCGTGATATCGAGTACAAATACTTTTAGTTTAATATAAGGTCCTCAATGTAGAGTTACGGTTCGTTAAAACGGAAAACTACTGTCAAAAGTGAGAGGGTGGAAAAAGTATGCCTCGGTAAAACATTAAACATGACATTAGACAAGTGCACCTCGGTATATAAGATCGACTTTACTTTTTTCTTATGATCGTTTGGCCAATTTGCTTATAAAATGTCTTTAAACCCACATACGAAAACTTGCAACCATATAAACAACAGAAGGGGTTGGTACCTATTGCAAACTTAAATACCTTCTTAAAATCACCCACAGATTGAGAATGTTACAAAGGGGTCTTACGAAAACTATTTGACCTATCTTTGAAGCTGACATGTTTGCAGACCTAAGACACATTTGTACAACAAAATTTCACTTTCCTATTTGAAAAAATGCGAGAAGTTCCAAGCGATTCAGAATTGGTTACTTCGTAACGGAAAATCAAGAGCAACTAAACTCCACTCAAAAGGCACCTAATAAGTATGTTTAAGCCAAACAACATGAGAACCCAAACGTAAAAAACAAAGTTAGTCTTCTACGCCAACTTTCATCAAAAAAGAAGGCAAGGAGGTAAATCCATGGAAGAATATATCACAGAATTCATTTTTCTTAATGAGGAAATTGTCGAACACACTACTGTGGCATTTCTTGCTTGGAAGCCTGCCGGATGAATACAGTCCGTTGATTACTCGTCGGAAATGCGTACGGAAAAGGATTTAACAGACGAACGGATTTCGGTAGTTGCTGCAGTGGCTGATACGATTTTCAAAACGCAAATGTAAAAGTAAAGCCTTAATGTTTTCTCATGTGGCAAGTTAGGACTCATTATGAAAAATTGTCGGATGGAATAAAAAACGGAAATCAAGCTAATGTTGCGAAGAAAAAATAATATCTAAATCAATAAATTGACGCTACGTCGAAAAAAGGAGCATGATTTTTTCATAGACTCTGGTGCTCTGTGAGTTTGATAAGGCAACCAAGTGATTCAATATATTTGGAAGTGGTGAGTGTCGTTTGATTTGCCAAAACAAGGAAATAGGTTATGAGATGTTTTGTATGTTCCGGCAGAGGGCGAAGCCGATGTAAAATTCTCGGCGGCGGCGGCTAAGCATAAAAAAGTCGGCGGCGGCTAAAAGTCGACTGCAGCCGAAAGAAAATCGGCGGCGGCGGCTAAAGCAATATACGGCCGGCGGCGGCTAAAAGTCGGCTACAGACGACGACTTTAACGTGAACAAATAATTTCGGTTGTTTTAATAACTGTCAATTCATTTAATTTAAAATAAAAATGAAAATATAAGTTTATATGCACATTTGTTGCTTATAGCACATTAAAAATTAATAAAAATACTTTAATTTGATAAAAATGGTTCGACGACTGCCTTGTTATCGTGAACAAACAATTGTTTCTTTACTGTTGCCGGATGCAGGCTGCTTCTCTTTGCATTTACACAATTCCCGGCATATGAAAATGCTTGCTCTGAAGATGCTGATGTGGCTGGAATTCCAAAGCACATATTTGCTACAGCAGCAACATTTGGAAAGATCTATAAAAAGTAAATGGTCAAAACGTAACCTGCTTAAAATAAGTTTAAGATGTGAATCTTTAACGTACTTGTTTGTTCTGTCGCCACCAATCTAGAGGCTCAACCGCCTCGACTTTCATTTCCAAATATTTTCTTATTTCTAACTCTACGTTATTTTGTACATTAGAAGGCGATGGTCCCATAAATTCCAACATTCTTTGACGACTAGCTGATATTTTCTGCAAGTAAAATATACATTAGTTAAGTTTACCTTTACATTTATTAAAACATAATACCTGTTTTTTTGCATTTGGTTCAGTGCTCGTTGATGGCTCATTTAATAATGTGTCATCGATTTCCTTTAATTTTTCAATTTCTTCCATAATCAAGTTCTCCTTGGAAATTGGAGACAGAACATCATGCACAAGTTCCAAGGAGTTTGGCGATTGTTTGGGTATCTGTAGTATATATTTATCTAAAACAGGCCAGTTTTTTTGGCATGGGTCCATAAGCGCAGCTACAACATACATTCTATATACTTTGAATCGCTTCGTAAAGTTTTGCACAGCGAAATTGCATAAATTGATTGTTAGTTCAAAAGACGCTTTTTCTTCTTCTTTCTTCAATGAGGACATAATGGATTCCTGAAAATAAATACACGAAGATATCGTCGGATAATCTTGGCCTTGAAGGTGTTTTGTGGCGTCCTCAAAAATTTTTAAAAACGTGCCAAATTCCGTTATAATTTGCATTTCCATTGTCCCAATCACTAACAGTTCCTTTTTAGCTTTAACTAATGCTACATTTATAGTGGATATATTATTCGTATAGCTTTGAATCATTGCAAGCAGAGAGTTCCAACGTGTTGCAACGGAATTTTTCAAAGAGGTGTGGTGCTTGACGTTTAAAGTTGCTTCATATTGTTCAGTAAAATAGTCATCTCCATGTGGAAATTGTTCGCAACTATCCAAACTCTCCAAAATTATTTCAACCTCTGTAAATATTTTTACTAAATCGTTTTGTTCCTCCATATTTTGAATATTTGATATTTCTTCATAGCTATACATTAAGCTGCCATAAATTTTTTTTAATTTTGATATTATGTTATTAATATTTTCAAATGACTTGTTGTTTAGTATATCTTCCATCAAAAATCTGTGTAAAACATGAGCCATACAACCATATCTTGGTATATTTTTAATTTTTAAAGCTGAAACGATGTTGCTTCCACCATCAGTAACAGCACATATGTTTTTTTCCAACAGATTAAATTCACATAAAGCTTCTTCAATTTTTTCTACAACTGCTAGTCCAGTGTGAGGTCGTGGAAAGATCTCTGTCTTGAGCGTTACAATTTGCATTTGAAAATTTTGGCAGAAATGCACTTTTATGTTTATGTAAGACAAATGCTTATGTTTATCTGACCACATATCCAATACAAGTGTAACATTTTCGGGCGACTCTTTAAGGCTTGTTTTTACGTGGTCCAAATATATGTTATAAACATCGTTTAAAGCCGTTGTAGCTATTGTCCTATCTGTGGGGAATATAGCCTTTGGGTTTAAGAAAGATACCAATTTCTTAAATCCTGGCCTTTCAACAATTTTAAACGGTTGCAAATCCCAACAGCACATTTCGGCGACCCGGCGAGCATTTTGTTGTTTGTTGTTACAACTTGTTGAGGATTTCAATGCATTTTGTGTCATTGTTGAACTTTTCAGGTTATTTAAAGATTTCACGTCCAAGTTATGTACAGCTCGTAGATGGTTCATATAATTTGTGGTTGATGTTGATTTTCCAAAACTAAAATCATAAACAATTACACACATGCGAATGGAAAAAATTAGAAATTCTTACCTTTTTAAATTGGTCTTTTCATCCAAACACAATTTGCAAAATTTATATTTTTGAAGTATATGCCTCTTTTTAAAATAGAGATCACCAAAATATTTCCAACACAATGATATACCACCTTCATTTACAACAACCTTTGCCAAATTTTTAAATTCATTTTTCTTTTTAAAAAGATCTTCATATTGAGATACATCTGCATATGGAGAAATATTGATTTCAGTATCAACAGATTCGTCAGAATCTGATTCTGATTTAGTCAAAACTGCTTGACCCTTTCGGTTAGCGGAAAAATAATTTTTAATATTCCTTTGGCACATTTTGCATTCTTTTCTTTGAACAAGCAAAAACACAACGAATCTTTGGCAAACAATATGGTTGCCACTCCATCAAAATTCGTAAGTTACAAAAGGTTGCCAAAGGTTTTGTGATAAAAAAAAACAAATCTACAAAGACATAATACCCTTACCACTATGTGCTGTAGGGTATAATTAATATAAATAGCCTACACGTTTTTGCCTCTCGAAGACGAGTGCACAATGTAAATTATCGTCCAATAATGAGCATTATAATATGTTAATTTATCGATAAGATTAAAAGACATATTTATACAAATTTGCTGTATAAATTTATATTTTTCAACGGCTTAGCCGACTCAGTCGGCTAAAAATTTGAGCCGATGAGAGCCGCATACATCAGCGGCGGCTCAGATCACTTAAAAAAAGTCGGCGGCGGCTGCACGCCGACTGCGAGCCGATCGGCTTCGTGCTCTGTGTTCCGGAACTTGATGAAAGTTTATAATCCGTAAGAAAATTGACAAACGAATGTTACCGTTAACATTTTCATTCGGACAGATGCTCAATATTGAAGGAAGGTCAAAATTGCTTTATGGAAAATCTAAAGAACAATCTTTATATCCTCAGTAGTGGCAAACTATAATAATATTGAAGCGAAACATATATGCTCTCTTTCAGTAGCTACAATAGTCTACTAGTTTTGCAATTTTCTTCGATATCATAAAGGGAAAATCGGTTATAGTAGTAAAATATTTTACATTCTTGCAGTTCTAGTACAGACCAATAGATATAAAGACAGCTTTCATAAATTGCGAGATATGCGGAAACCAGAAGGTTTCATAGAAAATGGCAAAGAAAATTTGGTACGTCACAAGGATTTGGATGAATTTTTCAATTTATCTCAAAAATATAAATAATCATCATAATCATCCATATTATACCTTGCAAATAATACGCGTCCGGATATTGTTTCGAAAAGCGAGTTTTTATATATTTGAAAGGCAGTCAAATTTCAAAATTGTGTGTTGGTTCTAAAGCAAGTTTGCTGTTGCTGACTGGCCATGTAAGTAGAAAACAAACGAATTTAACTTTGTCATTAACGTAAGTAGAATTGGTTGTATACATAACTACTTTGGAACAGCGTTCGAAAATAAACAGTATGGTACTGTACCGTAGTGTTCTGTACCGTTCCGAGGAGGAGTGGTACACTAACATAATGTACCGTACCGGAGCACAACCCTTAAAAAATATTTTAGTGATACTGTACGGAGCACAACGAGAATCGTACTGTACTGCAGTCGGAGCACTAAAAAACGTAGTGTACCGCAGTCGAAGCACTACGAAATCGTAGTGTTCCGCAGTCGGAGCACTACAAAATCGTAGTGTACCACATGGCGGAACATTAAAAAAATAATGTACCGGTAGTGTACCACATATTTGTTGTTTACGGTTTGTGAGAAAAATTAGATGTTTGATGGTTTTGATAATGCAAAAATTACTGATACAATTTAATTTTATGAAAATAAAAGCTGAATATAATTTATTTGTAATGTGTGTTTAGATTGGTTGCGAAATTGAAAAAAGTAGAAAAATATGGGAATAGGTAGAAAGAATAAAAAGGACCAAATCTGAAGTGATAATAATTTGTATTTAACAATTGAAGGGTATTTTAGTGGTTGCATTGTAATGGGTTATTATGCATTGTAATGGGTTATTATGCAAATAATTTACCTGTTATTTTGTGGTACCGAAAAATCAATGAATGTAGGTGTAAAAAACTAAATATTTTACAAAGTATGGCTGAGTGTTCAAAGTCAGTTTTATGATTTCGATTTTTTTAATGTTGTGCATGTGGTACACTACGATTTTTTATGCTCCGATTGCGGAACACTACGTTTTTTTAGTGCTCCGACTGCTGTACACTATGATCATCGTTGTGTTTGTGTACAGTATCACTAAAATATTTTTTAGTGGTAGTGTACCGGTACAGTACCGCTAAAATTTTTTCAGTGATACTGTACCGGTACAGTGCACTATGTTAGTGTACTGTTTATTTTCGAACGCTGCTTTGGAAAGGAAAGATGCGTTAAACTATCGAACAAAAATGTACATTAGATCAGCTTGTTCTGCAAATAACAGCTATTTAATCCCTCTCGCCAATCGGATGTTTGCAACATATTTTTGGAATGGTCTCATTTTAGGATTGAGCAAAAGCACTAAACTAAAAATTGTTAAAGGGTTTCGGAGAAAATGGAGCAAAAGCTATGCTCAGATCAAATAATTTTTGTTCTAGAGCTTGTAAGTAATTTTTATAACAAGTTTAAAATGCCCGATTGTTTATATCTGATCCACATAATGCACCAGAAGATCGGCACTTGTTTTAAGTTTTAAGTTTTAAGACACCAGGTAAATTTTAAGATATTAAAATATTAATAAAATATATATCTATACAGAAATCCCACGACTGCATTTTAAAACCTACGAGTATTATTAGATTTTTGCCCAATCGTGCATCTGGACAGCCTTGGAAATCGGGCCAGATAAAAAATAAGAATATATTATTCAAGAAGTAATAAGAAATGGGCACCTCTATTTATTTCTCGAGCTACTTTATTGTACGATCTGCATATAATATTGAAAATAAAATGACTTACAAAAAGTAAATCTTAAAATTGAAAAACAAATTACTACGGAATTCAAAGGACTTTTATGATTTCATAAATTTAAAATACCAATTATAAAAAACGACTCTTTAACAGTTTCTGCTAGTATTTACTACGATTTTCGGCACATTTTCGTAGTTTGTTCTTTTCACGAATTCTTAACGGTTTAATATCTGAAGGCAAAAAACCAGGAAGATGTGTTTACAATTTTGAATCTTCGTGGCAAGATCTACAAAATTGCCTTAGAGAATAATTAATAAACTCATAACGATTTGAAGATATAAGGCTATCAAAATAAACGTTATTTGACACAATTTATTTATGTTAATTAGCTTCTATTTTTTTATTTTCTCTAAAAGTACTTATTGTCCTAATGGTATGTTTTTTCTTTTGCCTTCGCAATAGTCCCGTAATTATTCTGGCAATATAGACTTATTATACCAAAAGATTGACAACATTTAAACTTTTATAGACTAGGGTCAAATGACAACGTCGGAAAAACTAAACGACCAACTAAAACATCTTGAATATTGGCAGAAAAATAGAGGATATAGGTAATTTGCAAACTAGTGTATGCACGCCAATTTTGTTCCGCGCAGTGAAATTTGCTCTACCGTAAAAAAAAAATAAATACACAATTCACGAAAAAAAATAATTTAAAATATCTCGGAAAGTATCTGGACTGAAGACTTATATGGATACAATATATCGATGCAGAACTCACGCAAATAAAATTTGGAATGGCTAATTGGCATAAAATTTTTCTAAAATAATACCAACTCCTACTGCATGATACTGTAATTAAGGCCATTTTGAAGTATGGCATTCGGCACAAGTAAAGCTTATAAAAAATCCACAAGGACCTCAACATACCTATAACTGTACCTAAAAATATAAAATAATAATATTACATCCATAAGACTATTCCTGTAGTCTAATAAAATCTTAATTCTTCTTTCTTAAGAAGAATAAAATATGAAAGATTTGAGTAATAAATATATAAAAAATTAAATCAAATTGGAAGCACTGAAATTTTTAGATATTTCGTTGGTATTGTCTTTTCATATGCAAATGATAACGAAAAACTACAAATATTTTCAAACTTACCTAACATCGGATCCTGCAATAGCCAAATATGTACCACTCTGGTCGAAACACAAGTCTTTAACAGTATAAAAATCATCGAGTTGAATTGTTTTGAAATTTTTCAATTTTCGTAAATCCCACAATTTTACACAAGCGTCATCAGCGGCGGTTGCCAAGTAATAACCATTCTCAGAAAACGATATAGCTGAAATAGGACCAGTGTGACCGGGAAAATTTGCGACATTACTTTGTTCTTTTAGATCCCAAATTTTCACTTGGGAGTCATCAGTACCAGTACCAAAAATTAAGCCATCAGGGTGGAATTGTGCAGTTGTTAAACCAACTTCGGCTGTATCAATAACCTAATGATTTGAAAACGTAAGTATCCGTAACGAAAATATATATATAATAATTTGCTCAAACCTTCGTCAACAATCTTCCGGTTCTTATGTCCGAGAAAGCCCAATGTTTATCGGATGATGTAGATAGTACATAGTCTCCTGTAGGATGAAGAGACAACCCCGTAACCGGTCCATCGTGACATCTTAGCAACAGTTGTGTTTGTGAAGATGGCACATTCCAAATACGAATGGTCATATCGGGAGAGCCCGTGATGACTGTATCCTCATCAGGATGATATATGACTTTGGTAATTTTTTTTGTGTGCCCCTTTAAAATTGCAACAACTTGCTCTGTATCTTTGTTAAAAACTGTTGCGTTTTTGTCATTCCCTCCTGTTAAGATTTTGCTATGGTCCGCAGAACTAATGTCGAGAGCTAAGATGCCAGGTATTGAAGCAGAATGTAAACCGGGATGAGATGCAGTAGTTAAAAAAGTTTTTATCTGTTCTTGAGTAACCAGCTCCTCGGGAACTGTACGACCACGTTTTTTTCTTTCTTGTGTTAAAATTGTTGCTTTATCCTGTAATTTTTGTATAACGTCAGCGCTCATACCCGCCTGCTCGATAGGTTGAGTAGCAACACCGGCTGCTTCCGAGGCAATTGCAGGCTGTGGTATGGAAGTGGGAGCAGCAGATCCTATTCCAGCCTGTGGCTTCAACGTAGCAAGTGCTTCACGTGCCGCAGCCACCTCTTTGTTTAGACGAGCAATTACACGACATGCAGCATCGTGTTGATACAATGCGTGCGAAAGCTCTTGACGGGTTGTTTGCAATTGCTGTCTTTGTGTAAAAGAATGCAACATTAGAGCATCCCATTCATCCTGAAGTGTTTTTAATGTGGCCGGTATACTTGTGGCGCTAGGTGGTTTTGGTTTAACTATTGGTGGCGTCTTCACTTCTATTAGTTCTTCGGCCTTCATCTCTTGACCCGTGATTGGGTCGCAACCATTCTCCAATAGATATTTCTCTATTATACGCTTTTCAAAAATTGCTCCAGAGTAAGGAGAAATCACGGGAGTATCTGGAACTTCATTGGTAACTAAAACGGAATAAAATTAAATTATATTGGACATTTGGAGTATATGTTTGCCGATAAAATGCCGGTTAATGCCCATTTAATATTTACTTACTTGCACAAATCAATGACATTTTATCGTATTTATGTGTTGACTATTTAAAATCTTCACGAGTTAGAATGAAAACGTATATATTTTAATACAATATACAGAAATTCGAGAAATAGGGAAATATTTAACAATATAATTCCACTATGCCGCCTCGTTATGCTTAGGGATACGTAAGTCGACTTTCGATTTATCGACTAATCGAATTTGAGTACTCAAAGTTCTGAAACTCGAACTCGACTATGGACTTGTGTGAAAACTGAGTACTCGACTATTCATAGTCGATTGTTCAACTTATGCTATGTTCTCATTGCAATTTCCATCACGTTGTTCGCTCTCAAAATTAGGAACACGAAATAATACGATTTGTAAATCATAGTAATATATTTCCTTTTTTCAAACTTTTTGTTTGTTGATTCTTATAGAAATTTGTACGAGTGTACATGCAATTAGCATTAATAATAATAGAATAAACTATTGCTTTTCTTCCAAAGATTTGTTTTATCTTCCATTTTACAATTTTCATTCACGAATGATTTAAGACTTTTTCTTATTGGGCTCATTCATGTTTGAACTTTTTGTATAAATGTTGACATTTTACATATATTTTACTGTTTTTAAATTCGGTTGGAGATTGACTTGTCAAAAAAATTTCGAAAATATTACCTTTTTTGTTTACAAATTTCTGTTGAAATTCCAACTCGTGGACAAAAAGTGTACCTCGAATGAGAGAAGAAACAAAAGTTACTTTCGTTTGAATGCACATACCCCATTCAAGATTATATCGTTCATTCATAATCTTCAGTCTTTCTTAAAAATTTCATAATTTCATTTTTCTATTTTGAATTTTTAACTGTCATATTTTTTTTTTTTTTTGCCTGCAGTGCTCTCTTTTATAAGAGATGGCACACATTTCATTGTAGTTGAGAGTGATTTGAATTGAACAAAGAATAAAAATCTTTTTTTTTTTTTTGTGGGGAATCAAGTAGATATTTCATAATTAATGGTCGAACAACGAATAAAGAGCGAATCACGTGGCATGTGAACTTAGCATTACTTCACTCACTGTTTTTCAAATCCATGGTAGAAGAATATAGGTAGACGCGTCGACACAGCTGCTGGGACAATGAACTGTCAACCCAATTTTGGAATTGAAAATGTCATAAATTATAAAAATTATATAAATTTGGAAAAATTGTTGAAAAACACGGATTATAATAACATCCGGATGATGTCGAATAAGAAAACATATAAAAATCTACTTATATTTGAAAAAACATTTACATTTTTTGACATATAAATGCTCCCAAGCGTTGATGCATCTACCTGTATTCTTCTGCCATGTTTAAATCTAAAACTCCTTTGTTCCTCTACGACGAAGCCAGCTGATGACTTAAGCCAGTCAAAATCATATGTTTACAATTTTTTTCTTTACATTTTTTTTCCTTTCGCATCCTCTCATTGTCAAATTCATGTATCCATTGTATATAGTCAAATCAGAGATTCAGTTATATTAAGGGAAAATACAGAATGGATAGGGTCATTTGAATCAGGACTACCTTGAGATAATTGTACCATGGCACTTTTTTTCAAGGGAAGTTTTTGAAGTGATATATTTTATGTTCATAATATATGCGAGCCGGTGGCATGTGACATTAATGTCAAATTAAAAGGGGAAACGACTACAGTGTGACCCTTAAATCCTTTTGTGATATCTCACAAAATATGCCATGCCATGTCAAGCCGCTTATAGGTGAGAATACATAGAAGAATTTTATTACCGAAGAAGCCAGCCGATGAGTTGATTCAGTTTCTCTACAAAAAGCGTGATTTTTGTCCATGCATGCGTTGTAATACACATTTTAGGTGTGTCTATTTACTTTTCCTGGAATTGTCCAGCAACTTCTTTCTGAGAGAGTAAGGTAGTTTTATTCTCTTTAGCAAGGAAAATACGAAAATTAAACAGACGGTATTCCTGCAGAAGCTTGCAAATAATCAGCTGATCTGTCAAAACAAACCAATTTTCCCCCATTAAAAGAATTAAAACAAAGGAAGCAACACTACCTTTACAAGTTTTATAAAAAAAGGAAATTAGCAATAAAATAAAAATATGAGCAATAAAAGAAAGATAGATTTGGTGTGTTAAATGTGTTGCTAATGGAGAGAGAAATTTTGACAATTCTTTCAGTGATAGTTTGCAAATTCTTGCTGGACAAATTTCTTCCTGCCATCACTTGCAACTCTTCTTCTTCTCATTCATCGACATTCAATCAGATGTCTTCTATTGTTTGTTTATTTCTTTCTGCGCTTTCAATTTAATTTTTTTTTTGAATTAGCAAGACTAATTGTTTTTGGAGAACAACTTTACAAAATGTGAAAAACTTTGGCTTAACTCTAGTTTAATAAAAACTCTTCAATTTTTCCGAAAAATTTTCCAGTGGTAGAAATTTTGACCCTGATTCCGGGAAACTATTTTTTTTCTTGAGAGACTGACCCAGAACCCCAGGTTTTTGACCCCTAAGTCCGGGTTCAAGACCCCGACTAGACCCGGATCCAATTACCCGATATAGGCAATATAGGTATCGTTTTGTTGACCCCCATAATGGGCCCTTTTTGGACTTTTTGGGGGTTTTATAAAAAATCCGGGTCCAAAAAATGATAATTTGGCTATAAAGTCCGAACCATGACCACTTACCCCATCATGTGACTTTTTGGATAGGTATTTTCATAAGCTTTCTAACGATACCTATATTTCGAAAAAATCGAAGAGTTTTTACTAAACAAGAGTTGTTCCCTTTGTTTTGACAAATCAGCTGATTAGTTGCAAGTTTCTGCAGGAATACTGTCTGTTTACTTTTCGCATTTTCCTTGCAAAAGAGAATGAAACTACCATACTCTCTCAGAAAGATGTTGCTGGACAATTCCTGCAGGACGACTTCCAGTAACAAATTGTAACAGTTGTAACAAATTTGAAGGTTACCAGACACACCTTTTAATTACAACAATTTAATTGAATATAATTGAAAAGAACACAAACATGAAAAAATTTTGAGTTTTGCCTTGTTAAGGCGAAGATCATATGTTTTATGATTTATGTGTTTGTTTTCTCTTTCGAGACGAGCTTAATGATCTGAAATTTGCAGTGAAAAGGAAAGCCAGATAGACACTATCACATACTCACCACTATGCGACGCGTTTCGCCGTTGGTTAAGCGGCTCATCACGCATATTTGGTGTGGATGATGGCTTACAAGGGCCGTTCTCTGGAAAGTAGTATATATTTCGGACTTATTGCAAATTAGCATATGCGAATTATACACTAGAAACTCTCCAGGTTCGACTCAGTTCTATTGGCAGATCTTTTTCACAGCAAAGTTTTGTTTTTGTAGTGATGGATTTTTTGTCCACAACAACTACATTGCTTCCAATGCATACACTTGTTTTAGTGCTGCTTTAGGAAGACGGGTTAATGACTCTGAACGTAGAGACGGCAACTTCTAGTTGGCTGCACACCGAGGTCCGAGGTGTGGTCTGTCCAGAACTGCACAATTGTAAAAGTTTTTACTGCGATGAACGATTATCTATTTATAATATCGAAAAAAGTTGCCAAACTAGTAGATTCTTGCAGGGTCTGCAACAGAGCAATTAATTTTCTCAAGAGAGGCAAATAAAAAAGATTAAAACCGTTGGCAGAAGAATAGAGGTAGTCGCGTCGACACAACTGCTGGGACAATGTACTGTCAAACCGATTTTGGAATTAAACATTTTGAATGAAAAATTATTGAAATTTGTAAAAATTGTTTAAAAATACATATCACAACAACCTCCGATGTGCGTGGTATAAGAAAACATATACAAACTTACTTATTTTTGACAAAACATTTTAAACATTTTGACATATCAATGTTCCCAAGCGTTGATGCATCTACCTATATTCTTCTACCATGGTAGGTTTCGATGCCCTACCTTGATTTCATTGTACCATGGTTCAACCTGCTCTCCAAACTAGATGAAATGACGGAACCAAATGAACAAGAGGAACTATATAAACAAAAGATATCGATGCGGCTTCGATAGTTCATTTGATTGAATATCTTTTTAAACTTGTTCAATCCGGAACGCAGCCGAATGTTTTTTGTTATTTAAGAACTCAACAAAACCCACCTTGGATCACATAATATATTAAAATGTTAAAAATTTTAACAAGAGTATACGGGAAAGGGTCTGCGATACGACCATATGTAAGGACGTCTGCATATATCTTCCGCCAGTGTTCTAACTGGGAAAGTGGAATAGAAAAAAGTGTGGTCACGAGTAAAGAATTCAAAAATCCGTTCGCACAAAAGACAACAACGGCCACAGAAAACGATCACGTTGAGAGTCCTGCTTTGTTAAGTCTGAACGAAAAGGAGCGCCGTTTAAAGGTACTTCAATTGGAGGTAGACATCGCTAATCAAGAGGGCCGGAGAGTGCCATCGCTAGATTTCTTCAACGATGAACACTGGGAAACAGTGCTAACACTTCCTTCTAAATCTGCCAGAATGAAATATTATGGGTTCCTGTGGCAAGTAGAGATGAAGAAACAGGCCAAACAACGCAAAAAAGAAGAAAGGGCTGTAGCAACACAAGAACGTCTAGACAAACTGCGTGAGGAACGAGAGAACAATGAGCACATAATTTATGGCCTGGGACATGTTTCTATGTTTTTACGAATTTATGACTCTACTATCAACCATTGGATGAATCACAGGTACATAATTTCTTAACCGCTTTAGTTGAATAGTATGTACATAATTTCTCTTCCATGCATAGACTCATTAGGGCAATGCAATTCTCTCCGAAGCTCGTTTTAGATTGCTCGTATGATGAATATATGACCAAGAGGGAGGCGGAAAATGCCGCAAAACAGTTGATGCTGTGCTTCGCTGACAACCGTTCGCATGACGATCCATTTGATCTGCATTATTGCAATGTAAATTTGAACACGCCTTGTATGCAGAAGCTTCAACGATATATTCCTACAATGCTCAATATCGATTTTCCCATGAATGTGCATCAAAAATGTTTTACTGAAATCTTTCCCAAAGAGAATATAGTTTATTTGACGCCACATTGTCGGACGGACTTAGTTGAATATAATCATGATGATGTGTATGTAGTGGGGGCTATGGTGGATACGGTTAGTATATACAAATTTGGATTCCTGTAAAATATTATTTTTATTTAGAGTATTTTCTTTTAACGTAGGTCAACAATGAGCCACTGTCACTGGCGAAAGCCAAGCGGTTAGGTTTACGTATGGCTCGGCTACCTTTAGATAATTATTTGCAGTGGGGCGCTGGTTCCGGCAAATCACTTACTCTTAATCAAATGATCAAAATATTACTGGATTTAAAGCAGACTGGGGACTGGATGACAGCATTGCGTCATGTCCCTCGACGAAAGTTGTTAGACACACAGATGGAATCGGATCGAACGAAAAGGTTTTTAACTAAACGGGCGAATCAATTTACTGTTCATCTTGATAGAGTCATGAAGGAAGACGAATCAGAAGAAAGACCGAATGTGCGTTCACACAAAAAGAACATGGAATTCAATTTGTCAACCTGGGGTTCTAAAAGAAAACAGAATCAACGATCATAGTACAAGTATAAATTGTTATAAAATTATTGTTGCTAAAAAATACAAGATATTGTGTGGATACCAGCTGTTTTTATTAGTTTGCTTTTGTTTACACCACTACCAATATTATTTTTTTATATATCAATATTAAATTCCTTTCTTGAAATTAAATATTCATCTATGAACATTAGCTCCAGATTATTGAGTATTATCTATGAAGCATCAAAGGGTGTCGTGAATAAAAGGTGAAATTAGTACAATTTTTTAAATTTCAACAGAGTACGCGTAGTATTAAGGGTTTCGTAGTTTATAACACATTGCAAATTTACCTTCTTCGCAAAACTGAATATTTTTTCATCAAAACTGTTTACAAAATCCTTCTTTTCAGTAGACATCAGCTTCGTTTCCATAATCAGTGTAGAAGGCCGATGCATGATATTAATGAACGATTCTTTCAGAAACGAAAAATAGTTGTGCGCTACAAATACAACGTCAAAGAAATCGGACCAACGAGAATTGCTATCTTGCATTGCTAAAATATCATCAGTCGACAGGAAATTAATTTGAACTCCGCTTGTTCTTATCCACGGCTTGTCATAATCCGATAGAGATAACATTGTATCGTTACATGCATTAGTAAGAATTTTGCCCATTTGAAGACGAGCACATCCGTATTTACGCGAATGTGAGAGATCGTGTTCGTATGGTGTTTGAAAAGTTAATTCGTGAAATAACTCCAAAATATTACGCTCAGTTATGTCAGTTGAGCGGTAGTCATTTTCTCCCTGTACCCGTTTCAGCATACGTTCATCAGACGTTGTTAGGCCAAAAGTCACGAACGGACCAGTTTGTATGTCACCAACATAACCGCGATGTAAATATTTTTCGCCATTGGGTATCAGCCCAGCTGATAGGGTTTTATTGGGCATATTGTATTCAAATTCTGGAAAGGTAAATGCAATGCCAGTTTCGCGCCAATGTTTATATTCCTAAAAATATATATAGATAAATTTAATTTTTTTTATAAATTGTATTAATAATGTACAGTTATATTTGTCTGGAATTGTAATAATAATAAAAATAATATGCTATTTTGAGACCGTTATGGCAATAATTTTCCAATGTACCTTGATGTTTGCAGTAGCTTTGTAGTAGTAGCTGTTCATGGGTATAAAAACTGTCTAACTACTTTTAATTTAAACAATGGATTTGGAATAAGATTTTTGGCAAATACGTTACAAAATTGTGGGTATGTTAAAAAATAATAAAATTATCTGGTAATCTGTTAAAGAATATAAATGTATGCAGACTTGTACCTCTGGGTCGTTTTCATTTTCCAATGTTATTATGGCTTACAATAATTGTGCTTCATTCGCTTTATCTCCCTTTGTCCCAGTCGAATCATCTATAAAGACTCTTCCCAATTATGATAATTGGAGTACAAAACAAGTAAAAAGAGATTTAAGTTCGGACGGGCCGTTGTATGAGGGCTATCCCAGTTAGTAGGCCTTAATCGAACATTTTTCGCAAGGAGAGAACAGACCCTTTAAGACCCGCAAATGTCAAGTTTCATTTGATGTGATTGAAAACTGTGACAGAAACCTTCGAAATGTCGAATATCGGGAGGTACGGTTATATGGTGGCTATACCAACCGTGGACCAATATAGCCCATTTTAAATACCAATCAGCCTTTGTGTCAAATGTCAAGGCTCTAGATTTAATAATGTGTACTCTATCGTGATTTCAACAGACAGACAGATGGACATCACAAAATCGCCTTATATTTTCATTCTTTTCAGGAATCTTGGGGTCTCCGAGGGATATTTCGTGATGTTGCAAATGGAATATTAGCACAAATTGTATGTTTGGTAAATATTGTTACTGGAAGTTAAATCAGTTTTTTACAATCAAATTTAGAAACAGTCCAAATTAATTAATTTTCGTTTTGTCAGGGTGGGAGAGCTAAAATATATAAATTATAAAACATATTTTGGGACCTAAGGCTTAGAAATAGAATGTAGTAAATAGGATGGCCACGTTTTAAAATTTGTTTAATAAAAATATGACACTTCTTGCTGGTTACTTTTTTTTAAATTTTTTTGCCGATAAATTTTTTGAACAATATTTGTGTGGAAATTTGTTTTCTACATATGTACCTGCGAGCAGACTTGAGATGCACCTCTTTCTTTTAAGACAATATTAAGATCCCAATCGAATTGTCCAATACGATAGTCGTAACGCGATCCCAACAATTTTCGGACTCGATCACACCAATATTGTTTTATATTGAAAATATGTTCAGATTTCGGCAACCAGAAATGCAGTGCAGTTTGCAGACCGTCACGCTCGCGATATTTCAATCCTTCGATGCTCAAGAATGGTGCTAATTTATGAAGGTATTCGTTGTCTGTTATCATTTTTAAAAGCGACTTCGTTTTTGCCACCAGGTATTGATTTGAGAAAGACCGTAACATTGAATTTCCATACACGTCCATAAATAATTGTACTTTACTTCGTAGATTTATTAAGTTGGGATTTTCCAAAGCTATTCCGAGTAATGCCATGTTTCGCGCCGTTATTTCCATACATCCATCCACAATGTAAAAATGTACACGCGGATTGAAGCCTTTCGACCGATGTGAATAGAGTTTCGCCATTGTTTTGATTACATGCCGTGGATCGTTGGAGCCAAAGAGTAGAATATTTATAGGTCCCTCGTTGCTATTTTCTTTACTAAAAATACCCCCTTCGCCTTCGTTAGTAGTTTCTCCATGACCATTTTTAATTTTTATAATGCGAAGATATTCATCAATTAAATCTAATGCTTCGCTTAGACCCCAAAACATTTTAAGAATATGTTTATTTTAATTCTTATTTAGTGCTAATACTTATAAGAGTTTTTCTATTGGATGACGTTGAATATTTTAAAATAATGTTTGTAGCAATGGGTTAGTTGTCATAGTTGCACAGTGTACTTTGGTTTGATGAAACTTGAACCATTTTAGCTGCGTCTTTGTTGGCTTTTGTTACTGCCATGGTTACAGCTAATAGTACAACTTGACAAGCAAATAAACGAAATATATGTTCATTCAAAACATTGTATATTATTTTGATTACGGAGCGACCAAATATGTCGTTTTTCAGGATATTGTCGATTGTGTCGATCCTAATTAAGAATAGGAAAGAGGGAAAAGACAGCGAGTAAAATACAGTTTGTCATTGGAAGACATATACGCAATATGTTGATGGAGTACGTTAATAAAGTCGTTTGTGGCTACATAGGCAGCATGGCTTTACATGGCTTATGTACACACACCTTAAGTCAGGACAGAACTAGATAACAATGTTCTACATCTGAGGAACATTTGCTTACACATATTGAATAACATAGTAGACGCTCATTCGCCACTACATCTTTATACCATAGACCACACTGTGGTCAGGGTATTATATCGTTGTGCTGTTTGAACAATGAGAAGAAAGCGATTTAGACCCATAGTTTCTTTTGATGATCGGCATAGAATCAGATTCTGAGTCGATTTATGCATGTCCGTCCGTCTGTCCATGTATTTTTGTAAGCAAGGTACAGGTCGCATTAATCAAGATGAAATTGTGCATATAACATTTGTTTGGTCCAAGGACGAACCCTATTGAAATTGGAGATAATCGATTGAAATTTAGATATAGCTCCCATATACATCTTCGCCCATTTCGCCTTTTATTTTGCACCAAATGTGTTATATTAGCCAAAATATGATGGAATTTGGCTCATATAACTAAATTAAGTCTAGAAACAAGCGCGTTAAAATTGTTGAAAATCGGTTCAGATATAACTATAGCTCCTATATATATTTTTCATCCGATTTGTTAAATTTCTCCTCAACAGCCGTAAGATGCACTCCTTTACAACGATATTGGGAGAACTATATCGAATATAGGTCAGAAATACCTATACTAAAATTTATAGAAATCGGTTTAGATTATATAATAGCTCCCATATATATCTTAATCCGATTTCAGGTTATTTGTGCACCAAATGGCTAATATCAGTCCAAATGGAGTGAATTTAGGCACATACGAGCGAATCCAGTCTAAAAACGAGTACTTTGGGAAAGTTTGTTCAGATATGGCTATAGCTCCCATATATATGTTTCAACCGATTGGGTTTTTAAATCTCTCACATTCGTAATACGCACTCCACAACAATGATATTTAGTACCAGATATCATATAGAGCTCACAAATAATATCGAGATCGGTTCAGATTTGCATTTCTAATAGCTAATATCAGCCCAAATGGAGGGAATTTTGGGACGTACGTTTCCATTTGGTGGAGCTGGGTTAAGATATATATTTTATAATGCAAGTCACCCTGAAAGTAAATTATATCTGCTCTAAAGCTTTGTTCGTAAAATCTACTTCATATTAACTCCAAACATAAATTCTTTTGTTACGGTAGCTCTACTAAATATGCATGGTGGTGTATGGTATCATATAGTCGGTGTCGCCCGACTTTTGATTTTCCGTACTTATTTTTATCCGCACATTGTCTACAGTACTAAGGACCACTGCTATTTCACTTAGAAATCCGATACCTTATACTGCAATAGAAACAAAAGAAAATAAATAAATTTAAAACTATTAAGTAATTGCTTATGTCAAATGGCCCCAGGGTTTGACAAGCAATCCTTTATAGTGGCCAAAACTTACTGTATGTGCATTCCAATTAAATTTCCACTTTGCTTTCTTTTATGAATTTTTGCCAAATCATATAAGATTTCTCCTTGGTGCTAACTAATGAAGTCCTCAAGTGATTACAATTTAACCTGGACAGACGGACAGGATGACAGGTTGATAAATGTTCCTCATGGTGGGTCATTAGGGCATTAATGTACAAAATAGTACGTTTGGGTTGATTTCTCATATACTCGTTTTCTTACGTTTGTTGTTATTACATCGATAAACGGAAAATTAAAATATTGTCCTTCAGTTTTTATAACTAACTAGCTAGCCCGGTCCGCGTTGCCGGCCCGTACTTTTAATCTTTAAAGCATAATAAATCACAGATCTGACTTATGTAGGCGGCACAATTTTGATTATAAGTAATGACGCCATTATAATTACTCCAATTTTGATTATAAGTAATGACTTGATTATGAGTAATGACTCCATGACTAAATATAAATTAATATTCATGGCAAAAATTATAATTATCGTCGGTTTTAGATCTTTTGAATAGCCTGATCTTATTTTTCAGCAATATCCTTTAATTTGAGTGTTAAATACCTATATGATAAAGAACATCTATAATAGCCCCATGTGAAAATTCAGCTCAATTTTTGATATTGTAAAAATTGAATGCTTTAGCTATAATTTGAAATTTTTATTTCCAACGTTTAAAATCCCGTACTGCGTGGTATTCAGTCTTGTCCACCTCATACTTGAAGGCAGAATGTTGTCAGAATAGCCAAAAAAATTACTCTTTTGCTCGGATTACCGTAAGATGGGCATTAATTGTTTGTCATTTAAATTGTGCAGTGGAGATCCAATAAAGTTACTTTATAATTTCGTAATTTTTTTTCATGTTTCTGCCACAATTTCCGACTGAATGAGTCCCAGACATTTCGGAGTTTATTTCATATAGACGTACATCCCAAATCTACGTTCCCATCCAATATTCTCTGGGGGGTTACAAATTCAATAGAATACCAAATTTTCGTTTCTGACCACACATTGGTTGGGAAAGTGGACTTGGGGGTATACTAATGTGGGAAATATACTTAAATAAATTCCTATGAGGATAATTATCTGTAAGATGATTTTCTACCCCAGGTAGCCTCAAGATTAAGATGCGCACTTTTCCGAAAAATAAAAATTTATAAGAAGAGGTTTTCTTCCCCTTTAGAAACAAAGACGTCAAATAAGGGCCAAAAAATGAAAAAAGTGGACAAGACCCCGAAAATACCTTAAATCATATGATGGTGATACCAAAACGTGATAATTTTTTGCAAAGATGGTTTCTTCTTAAATTGTTCCGTTATCAGGGGTTATGATCCATATCATGACCTGCCAAAGCGATTAAAGGTATCTTGAATGTTTAGGTAGAATTTCTATTTTGCATTCTTTATAGTCGGTATTTGACTGATTGCAGTCCCAATTTATTTTGCATTTTGTGTTCTCATTTGACAATTTATTGTCATATGAAAGAAGAAGTTCCACTTTTTAAAATTAACCCCATAACGCTTCTTTGGTCAGTTTTGTTTGTTTAAATGTGTTCGCATCTTCCAGCTGAAGCACGATGTAGGTCCTGGAGTAGAAAGCATTTAACATCGTATTGCGCCCTCATTTCATTTTTAATATTATTCATTCAGAATTCAAACCAATAAAAAATGTACACTTCAATATAGAAACAAGTAAAAAAGCTGTAAGTTCGGCAATTTTGGCAATTTCCAAAAAAAAAAAAAAAAAACAATAATAATATCCGTTAAGAATTCTGTTAAAACCTTAAAAATATCGAATGCTTATACGACGACGTGGACCTGCATAGGCAACTTTTTTCATAAGTTATTACAATATTTACATGCGAAACTTGAAGAAAAATCTGTTAATAATGTAGCTAAAATCATCAAAATTCGGAATATGGGGGGTACCGTTATATGGGGGCTATACGTAGACGTGGACCTGCACAGACAATTTTCTAGCATGGGCTGAAATATCCATTACGAACTTCACATGCGAAATTTGAAACAATCCCGGTAAATAGTGTCGCTAAAATCATCAAAATGCCGAATTTTGGGGGGTACGGTATATGGGGGCTATATGAAGACGTGGACCTACATGGCCCATTTTCTGTTTTATGCTGCAGTATCTATTACGAACTTCAAATACCAAATTTGGAACAATTCCGCTAAATAATGTCGCTAAAATCATCAAAATACCGAATATCGGGGGGTACCGTTATATGGGGGCTACACGAAGACGTAGACCTGCACAGATAATTTTCTGTCTTACGCTGTAGTATCCCTTAGGAACTTCAAATGCCAAATTTGAAACAATTCCGGTGAATAATGTCGCTAAAATCATCAAAATACCGAATATCGGGAGGTACCATTATATGGGGGCTATATGATAACTTGGACCTACATGGCCCATTTACGAACTTAACCTGCCTACTGGCAAAATATACTTGTGTGCAAAATTTTAGCCTTCTATCTCAATTTGTTCGAAAGATAGCGTGATTACAACAGACAGACAGACGGACAGACAGACAGACACACAGACAGACAGACGGACATGGCTAAATCGTCTTAGAATTTTACGCTGAGCAAGAATATATATACTTTGTTGGGTCTGACATGAGTATTTCGAGGAGTTACAAACGGAATGACAAAATTAATATACCCTCCATAGTATGGTGGAGGGTATAAAAATAATCTTCAACTGGTTCGCTGAATTTTTTGCGGCAAATTTTTAAAGGTCCTTACGAAGTTTGTCGGTAGAATGTACTATTATTTTGAAATTCGATTCCATTGAAAAATTGTCGATTTTTCCCGATTTTAGAATTTTCATATAAAGCGACAACGGATAAAATTGTTATTTATAGATTTTATGTATTTATTGGGTATTACGAATAAATACATAAAATCTATAAATAACAGTTTTATCCGTTGTGGCTTTATACTACCCAAAAAAACCTACACATCATTTTAGAATTAAAAAAAGAACACTACAAATGTACATTTGAAAATAGTAAGTCAAAATGGAATATGCAATATAAAACATTACTATTGTAAATTTTAAAAGTCAAAATGAAAATGTTCAAATTTCACATTTTAATGCGATTTTTTTGGATTTTATTCTTTGCTGCCAAGAAGCAATTCCGAATTTGCCTAAAATCAGACCGGCGGTCTTTATGTTATAAGAGTAGTAACTAACACAACTTTCTTTTACATATAGAAAGATAGATT